TGGTAAATGATAATTTAATAGTAAACAATAAATAAATAATTTTATTTAATTTTAACAATTCTATGCTTGTTATGGGAGTTGATCAAATAACTTGTGTGTAAGTATTAAGTACATTGATTGATAAGTTTGATACTTGCGCGTAACTCACAATTTTGTTGATTTTCAATACTTTAAACAGTAGTTGTAAGGCTATTTCAATTACATAAATGAATAATTTATAATATAATTCATTTATGTAATTAAAATAGCCTTACAACTACTGTTTAAAGTATTGAAAATCAACAAAATTGTGAAGTTTTTGTCAAGAAATCCTTCAAAATACTATGCAGAGCTCTCACAACTTGTTATGAAAAATATAATAAAATATTATTACGTATAAATGTTTTTCAATATTTGACACAGTATTTATATTGAAAACATCTTTACTTTAAAATAATTGAAATATAAATATATATTTATTAAGTATTGAAAAGTATCAAGTTGATACAATACTATCAAATAGTATCATCGAACCCGCTGTGCACATTTTAAACAAACTAAAATTTTAAAATAACTTTTCCTCTTTAAAATTTAAAATTTGTAATGTGTGGAGATTTTAATTTTTAGTTACCGAGATAAAAAACTATAAGGATAGACAGTTGAATCAATGGTCACTGGACTATAGCATAACTTTTAACAACATTCTTGATGTTAAATCATTTTACAATGCTTAACAATAATTGTACAATGTTTAACAATAATTGTACAACTGTTTTTCAGACGATACGTCACCGAATCTTAAGCAAACATCGACGAGCGCCATTATTGTGCCGGCCATTATAAGTAGCCGGAAACATATTAAATTACACATCTGCCCACGCTCGATTTGGAAAAACCCCATGGACCGTAAAAAATTAGAAAGTGCAGCCGCGGCCGCCTCTGCTCCTCGCGCGCATAGGATATAAGTAGAAGCTGCTTCATTGACCGTTCAGTATAGATCGAACACCGGTCGCGTGAACGTCGCAGAGCGAGTGAAAGTGATAATTTTTTGAAAGATCTAAAATAGTGTGCGCGCAAGAGTAGATAGCTCAGAACGATGTCTAATTTATCCGAACTTTTACATTTCGCCCTGAGGAATGGGGACGTGTCGAGGGCGGAAGCGTTGCTGCGAGAAGGCGCCAGTCCAAATTTACCGGACAACGAAGGCACTACTCCCTTGCACATAATTTGCCAATTTTACGACGACGGAGACTACTTGGCGCGGAAGTTGTTTGAGCTAAGCGACTATAAGTATCAGCCGATTCGAATCAACTCTCAGGACAAGACTGGTCATACGCCGTTGCACATAGCTTTGTACAAAGGCTCTAAAAAGTTGGCCGCGTTGCTGCTGAAATCTCATGCCGATACAACGCTGGCCGCCGTCGATGGAACAACTCCTTTGCACGTATTAGCCAAAATATGTCCCGAGAGCGCAGAGCACGCGTACGAAGTTGAACGTCTAATCCAGACGTTAATTGAAAATAACCCGATTGAAAGAATCAAATTTTCTGCGCGAGTCGGGATGCGGGACTATTTAGGCAACACTCCGCTTCACTATGCTCTCGAAAATCTTCATTTGCAACTGTTCAATTGGCTTTTAGAACTTGGGGCCGATTTCAATGCTGCCAACAACGAGGGAACGACACCACTGCACGTTATGTGCGACAGAATGATGGATGACGACTCACACGATTACCTTGATAAACTTTTCGAGATCGCCCATGAAAGCCAACGGAGGGTGCTGGTTGATGCTCGTGACTGCGTCGGCCGTACACCGTTGGAGCTGGCCGTGGCGAATCTTTTACCGAATACCGTCTCTACTCTATTGGATGAGGGAGCCGATCTAACCATCTTCGACTTTCCCAAGAGGAGCTGTTTCGCACTAAGAATCGATCCGAAGGATAAATTCTTTTTTGATAAAAAAGTAGAATTGGCAGCTCGAGCGTTGATTATCGTTGAACTTATCGAAGAGAAAGTATACGAGCTGAACTCGAGCGAGGCGATGACGGTCATGTCATTCTTTGCCAAGCACAAACTTTTTGAAGAGCCGCTTCTTGAAAAATATTGGTACAACGACCAGGAGTTTGAGGAAAATGCGAAGAAAATAATGATGATAGAGGAAGCTTCGAGTCCATCGCTCCACGAGTTGATTCTCATGACACCAAAAGAAGCGAAAAAAGCACTGACATACAGGGAATATTACAACTGGGCACAAGAACCTTACTCTATCTCTGGCTATGACCAAATTTGTGCTTTACATCTTTGCGAAAAGATGTCGAGAGGACTTTTCTTAAAATGGGCTTTGCTGCAGTTCACACATCTGATACACAATAGGCTTCCGGAGGAGGTGTGCACGATGATCTTACCGTGGCTGTCGAACAAGGATTTATATCAAATTTGCTTGGTAGCTGCATCTTTAAAGACTTACAATGGCAATCAACATAATTAAAGTTATTTTTCTCTAATTAAAGTTATGTAAATGTTTAATATTCATTCAAATAAATGAATTTAAAAAAAAGATTGATTTTTTGTCTTTTACTTTTATTTCATCGTTACCTAAAAAATCATCAAGACATCTTGTACCTTGCAGCTTTTCTATGATAGTTCATGCTTTTTAATTTTAAAAATCATTTTTGCCTTCTCCGTTAACATCACTGATTTGTTTAAGTAAATTTTTGCAGAAAAAAAGGTATGAAAATGTGCAAGTAATATTCATTGAGAAATTTATGTTTTTATAATCACTGTTAGCCGTAAGTAAATAAATACACTCACAGCATCAAGTATATATTGCGATAAATATTAATATTTCAATTATTTTAAAGTAAAGATGTTTTCAATATAAATGCAATATCGAATGTCGAAAGATATCTATTTGTAACAATATCTTATTTTACTTTTTATAACGAGCCACAAGGGCTTTTGATAGTATAAATACAGTGGGAATCTTTGAGATGATATCGTCTCCCTTAGAATCATCCATGCTTGTGTAGTATTTTTGAACAATAAACTTTGAATATATTCAAGTGATATAATTAGTAAGTTTAAGTATACTCAAGTGATATAATAAAAATTAAGGAGGTGAAAGAATCGAGACATCATTGAGCTCATTAGTTGCCACATCTAAATTCATATGTATATAGTTTTATCATCATGAGGGATAAACATTATTTTCAATTTAGAAAGTGAATGATTGTAAAAATCATTAAATATAAATATTATCAAAAAAGGCCTAAAACATAAGGGACCAATGGCCTAGCAGTGAAATTTTTGTAAAAAATAATATGCGTATCACTAATATTTGTTCTATTTTATTTGTCAGTAACATTTGTTCCGCACAAGATTTGAATGAAAATCATTGGTGTCAAGCAACATAATATCAAATATCAACAAGGTACTTGATGTGAATCTAATTCTTTAATTACTTATGAGCGTAACAAGCTATTGCACAGAAAATTTTTACTCATAACATAACATTTAAATACTAAGTAAAAAATTAAAAAAAAGCTTACAAGAGTCACTTCAGAGCACAAATTTTTGTACTAAATTGGTTTTTACTAAATTTTAGTACTAAATAATTTTTTATTAGTAGGTTGAGACATTGTAAAAGACAATTTGAAAATATTAAATTCAATTTCAAGAAAGTGTCCATTGAGTCAAGTTCTGTTTATGTAGGAATTTTTGACAAATAGTCTGGTTTTTTTATAATGACAGTAATATTGGTAATGTCAGTGATGTCAGTAATGTTAAGAATCTTTAATCAGCTATAAAAAATCACCAAATTTTCAAGAATAATTATAATAATTCCTTCATACTTATAATTATAATAACCTTCATGTTCAGTAGCTATTTTGATTATCTCTAGCCTGTCTACTCTTTCCAATAATGTAGACTTCCATGCGAGAATGGCCAATTTTTTTTTTTCTGAAAAAACTCTATAAATGATATTTTTCCATGATCACTACCTGTATCACTACCTGTAGCATAGAAAGTTTCAGAGGAACCATTGATTCTTTTTTTAAAATTTTGATTTAAATAGACAGATCAATAGAAGACGAATGCAGAGTCAATAAAATTACAACCAACGTCTTGGTGGCCTACTGTTCACTTCCAACAGAACAGTTACTGCATTCTGGATTATAAATTAACTGTATTAAAACTCTAAATTTTCAAAAGTTTTCCTACTTCAACGGCTTTTTCAATTATTTTTAAACGAACTGCTCTACGCCTCTATTGCAAATGGATATAAAATCTAATTTTAAGAAATTTGTTGAAACTCATTGTTTCAACAAATAAGAGAAAATCTTGCGTACAGCCCTACGAAAAATTTTCTGGGTGACTTTGAGCCAGAACTGTCCAGAAGGTAGGATTTAGCATAAAGCACGACTCAAAAAATCAAGTGCTACTGACTACTACCCGAGCCTGCAGCACAGCCCGATCGGCTCAATTCAATTCGTAAATTAATCAAATGAACCAGTCAAATAATATATTATAAAATTCAAAAAATAACTACTACTGAGAGATCTACTTGAATTTCAATTGGTGATGGTACATAATTTTTACGCAGTTCATGTGAAATCGTTCATAAACAATTTTCTCAAACATTCACTCTGAATTTTTTTATTGATATTGTAAATAAGTGGTGTAGGGTGGGTTATCTCAATGAACAATTAAAATTGATGAATTTTTTTCAGAAAAAAATCTGTACGAATTAATTCGTTAACAGTATTCAAAAGTGATTATTTTATAGCATCAAAAGCGCTCAACCTTTTCAAATTTAGCGCTCGCAGAATTACCTCACGCAAATTCTGCACTTTCATCACTTCTAACGGTCTCCACAGCGTGGCGGGCCGGGACAAGTTCTCAGACGCGCGCAGCAGAGTCATCATTACGCTTATTTAGCCCGTCTATCTTCGTGTTGTATATATGGCGGCTGGCGGCGCTCTTTACGCGAAAACAACAAAACCTCAAAAGTCTGGCCGAGAGCCCCTGTAAGAGCAGCCAGCAGCAGCAGCAGCACTCTCGAAGTCGCGGCTAGTGTTGAAGTCGCTCGTGCAGCAGTGTATCGGTGCGTTGCTGCTTGTAGATAGATAATAATAATATAGGAAAATATACCTAGGCACGCGATCACACACGTAGTGCGCGAGAGAGAGAAAGAGAGAGAGAGAGAAAGATACACATACAATTACGTACGATCTTTTAGTGTGTACGAGCGAGAGACAATTCGTGTGTGACTTTTTCCGACCTGAAATGATCGAAGAACACGACGAGAGAGAAACAATATGCGATTCGGTGGTAAGACCTTCGCCTTCCTCCTTCAATTGCACGAGTGCACGACGACACACGCCCATGCATTTTATCGAGAATGATAAGCACAGAATCGTTGCTGCAACCGTCTCGCGCGTATACAAGCGGTGCATAGCCTGTGTGTGTGTACTGTGCGTGTGTGTGTTGTCGCGCTCCGTAATGCGGAGTCCCCACGATTAACCTCACTTTTGTATTTGTACTCGCAGAACTCACTCGTCGAAGGATGTCGTTTGCCGGTGCGGATGAATGGGTCGGAAGACTGGCGTGAGTATTGTTAGTACGGTCCTCGGAAAAACAAGTCGAGCCCAATAATTTCTGAAATTGTCTCGCCCATGTCGTTGTCTCTGGGCTGTCGACGAGATGCGAGAAGCGTCACCAGAGCCCCGTAGAGAGTCGGCGCAGTGTTTACATGCGCGACTGCAGGGATGATGCTAACGCAATGATGCTTTTGCACAATTGCTTTTATTGTTCATGACGATCCTGTTTCAATCGATGAATGAAATTTTGCACCCAAGTCAGAGAGATGGAGAATGATTTCTAAAGATTACTCAGAGTATTGCGTGCTCGACTTGAATTTCACCATCTTCAAAATAAACAATACAACTCTCAGTGCATTGGATACAGCAATGTATTAAAATTGATTTATTCTTTGCAGCTCTCGCAGAAATTATCAGTATCAAGGAAGAGCTCTTAGGCAAAAAAAGTTACTATGTTCATTATGTAGACTGTAAGTATTGAATTGTTACCGTATGAATTCAAAAATATTAGCACAGCTCTGCGTTAGCGCACTCACTTCAGCGATATAACTTTTTTTTTCAATGTAACTTTGGTTACGTTATTAGAATTTAACTGATCATTAATATTAGACTGGTATCTTTTTTGAAACACAAACTTACTATGTTTTATATCCATAGTCAACAAAAGGCTAGACGAATGGGTACCAGAAGACTGTCTGGACACTCGAAAAGTCCAATTTCCACGACGAGATGGAGCAACAGCACCGGGAACTGGCGCAGGGACTGGAGCAGCTACTCCAAAAAAGCAAGTGCCTAGCAGGCCAGCCAGCCCATCGGTTGTACATAGTGAGCCTGTCAATGGATCAGCTGTCTTGCAAGCAGCTATTCAAAAGAAAATGTCAAGAAAAAGAAAGGCTACTGTGATGGAGAATGATGACTCACAAGAAGGTGCGCAACAAGCGACGCCAGGTGGTCCAAGACCAACTGGTTCTTTGGTTGCTCATCATCATGAAGATGTTGTCACAAGAATGAAAAATATAGAATTAATAGAACTTGGTAGACATAGAATAAAACCATGGTACTTTAGTCCTTACCCTCAAGAAATGATTAATCTACAGTGTATATACATTTGTGAATTTTGTTTGAAGTACCGTAAAAGTAGGAAGTGCTTAGAAAGACATTTATTAAAATGCAATTTGCGCCATCCTCCAGGAAATGAAATTTATCGCAAAGGCACAATTTCTTTTTTCGAAATTGATGGAAGGAAAAACAAGAACTATGCACAAAATCTTTGCCTATTGGCTAAGTTGTTTCTAGACCACAAAACCCTTTATTATGATACAGATCCGTTTCTCTTTTATGTGATGACTGAACTAGATTCTCGAGGGTTTCACATGGTGGGCTATTTTTCAAAAGAAAAAGAGTCCACAGAAGATTACAATGTGGCTTGTATTCTTACAATGCCACAATTTCAAAGAAAAGGATACGGAAGACTGCTAATAGAATTTTCATATGAACTTTCAAAATTCGAAGGTAAAACTGGATCACCAGAGAAACCTCTGTCTGATTTAGGACTGCTTTCGTACAGAAGTTATTGGGCGCACACAATCTTAGATATATTACTTAGTATAAAACCATCAGGTGATAATGAAAAACCTCAAATTACCATTAATGAAATTTGTGAACTTACTTCAATTAAAAAAGAAGATGTGATTTCTACATTGCAAAATCTTAATTTAATTAATTATTACAAGGGACAATACATTGTTACTCTAAATAAGTAAGTAATAATTTATATAAAAGTTGAACCTGGAAAATGAATTCAACTTTATAAATTGTATACTTTTATTGTAGGGACATTATTGACCAACATCAAACAGCCATGGCAAGAAGAAAACTAAAAATAGATCCAAAATGTTTGCATTGGACACCAAAAGACTGGAGCATCCGAGCCAAGTGGTAAATGATAATTTAATAGTAAACAATAACGAGTGGAAATTAAATTTTACTTCTACGAGATTGTTAATATATTGAGTGACTTGATAAAGTGACTGAGCTAAACTTGCGAATTACAAATTTCAGAAATTTGAAAATCGTTAATTTAACCATTTTAAAAAGACTGCGTCTGGCTTAAATGAAAAACGGTGAAGTTTGTATTTGATGACCAGATGAGACATTTTAATACAGTGACCAGAAGTTTTTTAAAACAACTTTCATGGTAATTAATTCATATTACTGAATGCCAGCCTAAGAATCGTTGATGATTTTGTACAGGGACTCATCGATAGTGTAGAATAATGTAAATAAATGTGTTTTTATATTTGAAAAAAAAAACTTTCAGTTACTCGCCTGCTGATAAATAATTATTTATCACCATTGTATATATTTAAACTTCAAAAATTGTAGCTACAGTTGAGCAAAAATGGCGACATTCAATCTGTCAGCTTCAACAAAAAAAACTAAAGTTTATAAAGAGAAATTGAAAAGAAAGCAGCGTTTCATTTTTTTTTTTTTTCAAAAACCTGTGGGCAAAGAAAAGGGTGATCTGGTAGTTCATTAAGTATTTATAGATATATATTTTTTCATTATATTCAACAGTAACATCACAGTAGCTTCATATACAATAAGTCATTCGCGCGTAATTTTTTGTTCATCGTGCAATTTTTGCCTTTGTCTTGATTTTTATTTTTTCATATGTTTATTCTGTTTTTTTTTTAATTCGTTAGTAACCACGGTAAGCGCAGCAGCATTTGTCGTGCTGAAACGGAACAACGTATGCACGAGATATTGTTATATAAAACGTTTTGTCTTAAAAAATTGTGCGACTGACTTTTTACGGGCGCTGTCGAGAGACAATAAGGTAAAATCGATTCGAGTATAATCTAAAATCAAAAATTCACGATATGTTGAATTTTTTATCATTGTACCCGGTTGTACGATTACATGGAGAGATATGCAGCGTGTTTACATATAAACGTACGCCCAAGAGCTGTTACACAGCACAAAAATCAAAATGGAAAATTTCGCGCGCGCAGAAGCCTTATGTAGCTTTTCTACCGTTTTTGTCAGGCTCGTTTATAAAAGTCGATAATAATATAATCGTTTTCGCAGTAAAAAGGGGGAAAAAGGAAAACTTGTCAACACTTGCTGCTAGCCTTACAATGTGGTCTCTATGATAATGTAGTTATACTAACAGGTTGTGTTTTTTTTTCTCTTTTTTCGAGTGGAATTAGGTTGATTTTTTTCACTTGCTCACGCATTTTTCGTTCAGAGATACAGATATATTTATAATTTTTATTTTTTACTTCATACGGTTGTACGCCAATTTGCACTTGATCGTCCGTCGTAAAGACTCGGTTCGATACATCATCGATAATTTTTTTCCAACCATATGATACAATTATTCATTTAGCTCAATATTAGACGGCAGAAGCTGGACCAAACCAACTCATTATTTTTCTTGTCTCGAGTATTATCTATTAAAACGAAATTATTAGCAGTGCCTGCACTCCTATTTTATTATTTTCAACGTTATTTTTTCTCTCTCTCTTCAAAATATACTTTTCTGAACAAAACAATGTGGCTGCGATCATTCCAATGGTCAGCTTTGAACAGTTAAGACACACAACAGTTATTTTATTTTTATTCTTTTTCTTTTAAATTATTTTTTGGCAAACAATCCACAAGCTATACTTTGATTTCACTAAGCGTATTATAATCTCTCCTTGTTTTTGAAATTAAATTTTTTTTTTCGTTTTACTCGTTACGTCGAAAAGTAAGTCGATATTTTTGTATTTTATTCTACTTGGTATCGTCCAATCAGGTACGACACCACAGCACACAAACACACACACACATACGCACGCACACGCAGTTATAATCGGCGCTTCGGTCCCAATAGTTTTTGTTTTTCGGAACCGAATTCAACCAGCACTCAAACACTCGTACAGGTTTGAGTTTGATAATAATAATGTACTGTCATTTTTTTTAGAATATTCGTCTTAGAATTAAATATTGAAGATACAAAATCTACGATAGAAAAACAGAAGCGACTTTCGAATACTTTTTGTTTTTTTATCATTTTTTTTTTCATTTTAAATCTTAATTCTCACACTCAACATCTAACTCCTTTTAATACTATTGATGTATAAATAATTATTTCGGTACGCGCTAGGTATTGTTATTCTCTTTCTAACATTTTTTTTTTCTCCATCGGAATGCCTCTGTAAATAATCTCACGCCCCGGATTGTCACAACTTGGCCTTCATCAACAAATACTGGCTTCTAAATCGATTCTATGTAATTTGTCTCGAATTCTTTCATCCTCGTGCTTAAGAAAGTTATATTAAATATATATCAAAAAGCTTCCCACTTTACTGATGAAAATCGAACTTTTTGATGGTTTTTTTTGTTGTTTCTGTTGTATATTAATTTCCAATTGTGGAAAAAATCATCGCGAAGTTTAAGGGGGGGAAAAAATCGAACACCAGTACTTTTTGACAGACCAAACATCGGTTAATGTATACATAGTAAATTTTATCGGCTTACGATCTAAGTTATACAATGTTACGTTACTCTATTAAATATCGCCTCATACAATCGTGATATCTTCGTGACTCTCGTTTACTTTTTGGAAAAGTATATCTTTTGTATTATTTTCTTTTATTTTTATTTTCTCATTCACCCCTCCGCTCGATATATAACAATTATTATTATTGTAATGATAATTATGTTACACAAGTCAGTGTTCTTATTTACAAATCAGTTTTTTTTCATCCACCGGTAAAAAGGAAGAAACAATGGTTGCCAAGTGTTTCTATATCATCAGTACATCAGACTTATATATTGGCATATCTCAAACAAACAAACAAAAAATAGAAGAAAAAAAGAAGAGAAACTAAAATTGCACTCGCAATCGAAACGTCGATCGTTTCGACAATTATATCGACACTTATGTATTTTATTATCCTCCGGTACGGTACACGTTATACACAACATTATTAATTTACCCTTACGCTCGTTTCATTCTTTATGTATACAATATATAATATTTATCGGAAGTTTTTTTTTCATTTCATTTTTCTCTAATTCATTCTCGCAATCGACGTAGGAACGGAGTAAGTATGTGTGATTCACAATATATGCAATTTTTCCGTGCATATTATTGTGAATTTATTCGATTCAGAAGCCACCGTCGAAGCTCTCCTGGTTCTTCACGCGATTCTGATAGGCCTCGAGGTAGTCGTCGACGTTGCGATAGATGCCCGAGTTCGCCTGGAACATCAACGTCTCGAGTATTCGTTCGTGCCTTATCGATTTCGACGGCAGGACGATCTGCAAGCCAAGACAAAAGAAAAATTCATCATCATTCGACTCGATTATCACTCAACTCGTGTAAATAACCGTACCTTGATGAGCTCCTGCGGAGTGATCCTGTAGAGCTTGAGATCCCTGCTCAGTCGCTCCATGATGCACTTGAACTCGACGCTGGCGTCGATGTCCGAGCTCTTGGTCTTGATCCGGTGCTTGGCCCACTTCAGCATCGCCTCGAACTTCTTGATCTCGACGACCTCCAACCCGCGATTCATGATCGTCTGCACCATGGACTCGCTCAGCATGAGAAAGTCCGGATTCTGAAAGAGCTGAAAGGCGCGGGTCTCGACGAAGGCCAGAATCATGTTGACGAGCTCGCTGGCCGACGTGTAGCGCCAGTAGTAGTTCTCGAGGGCGCACAGCATCACGCATACGATCTCGATGCGCAGAAACTGCTTGGCGTGATGGAAGCAGGCCTGCAGCAGCTCGGGCAGGTCGTAGTGCTCGGCGGCGCAGATCAGGCCCGGTATGTTGCTGCACGTGAGCGGACACGAGCCCGTGTGCAGATAGTCGAGCAGGATGCGGAACGTCTCCGGGTCGAACTCGATGATCTCGAACTGAAAAGAGACGCGGACTCGTTAAAATAATCAAGCTCGAACGAGGCGTCTGATTGTTAGTGTTAATGTTCTGATATACTTTTTTACGTAAACCACAAAAAAATTCAAGAAAATGCAATCGAATGATATACATCATTTTCAATGAACAAATGAATAAATAAGATTAAATTTTATACTCAAGTTTAGAAATTTTGATCGAAAACCAATGTTTAAATACTGAATTATTTTAATGTTCATTGCTCAAAAAAATTCAGTTAAAACTAGTGTCAGTCTTAACCATTAGATGGCGGATAACTTCATGCGTAAATCTGCAAGTGGCAAAGTCGAAATAACTGTATAAGTCAGGATACGATTTTAAAAGTATATACTGTCTGTTATACTATCCCATTTGTCTTTAACTCAAATCACATGGATTGTATGAATTTCTCATATTAACGTGCAGGAAAAAAAATTCGCCAATTTTCTTCGCCGAGTATGAATGAAAAATATTTTCAACTGCCTACCTCCGTTTGGGCCAATTTCGTCCTGTCGACTTTCTGCACGTCGGCGCAAACGCTCAGTCTCGGCACGGCCAGGCACGCCTTCTCCTTCTCCTTGGCTTCTTTATCTGCGAATGCGAAACGAAACGAAACAAAAAACAAAAAATCATCAAATATCTCGACGCAGAGCCAAAAGGAAAAAAAAAAAAGACACTCACTGCTGCAGTCCTGGGAGCTGGCCCACCTCTTGCGGTCCTCGCTCGACAGGGTGCCGTGTTTGCGTATGCTGCGGCCCCAGCCCGCGGTGAGGGTGCCGAGGCGCGAGAAGGCCCGCTTCACCATCGGCGACGAGGGCACGCTTTTAGGCCTTAAACAGATCAGAAACAGTATCTCACAGAAATTGCGGGCACGGCACTTTGCGGGATCCGGGGGAAGAAGAGAGAGAGAGTCATCGAAAAATTGTTTGTACAGCTTTGTCTCGGCAAGAAATAAGATCGAGAATCGATATAGTTAATAATCCTCGTGATAACACACATCGATACAGGTTTATTATTGCATATTATCGAAGAATGGAAAGAGTGAATCGTATCAAGCACGAAATTTTTATATACACATGTAGATTTTTAGAAAAAAAAGAAGAAGTAAACTCTGAGCTTTCAATCGAACAAACGACGAGTGAATAGAATGTAATATAATAAACGAGATAATTGGAAAAGATATCGCCAAGATGCATTGAATCGAGTGTAAATATATATCATGCGGTGCTTTTTATATAAAATTGTACAAAAAAACAGTAGTCGTATATAGGAATTGGAAACATGGATGTGCCTTTATATATAAAAAACATTTATATAATAGTATATATAATAACAGTAATATCATCGTGAACAGAATGAGATGAAGAATAAAAATAAATAATATACATCGCAATTTTCTCACCTTACGTAAACGCATCGCAAGTATGGTATATTTATAAAAATATTTTCAAGTAAAAATGAGAAAGAAAAAGAAAGGAGCGAATAATGACGATCGATCGCGAGCGGTAGCCGAAGCAGCAGAAAAAAGTTCGCGCTTACCTAGGGCTCTCGACGTCCGGCACCTGCAGGAAGTTCGAGCTCTTGGGCTTCTGGGGACTGAGCAGGGTCGGTGCGGGCCTCGACAGCAGCTCCGCCACGGGCACCTGCGGACTGCCGAAGCCCGTCTGTATGCCGTAGAGCATCTCCTGGAAGACGCGGCTCCTAACCCCGAGTATGGCGCGCACACCGATGAAGCGCACCTTCTGCTTGGCCTGGCCCGGCACCAGGAACGACACGTCGAACAGATTGGCGTTCACGGCCAGATTGTCCGGGCTGTTGAGGAAGACCCGGGTGAAGTCCTTGGCCAGCTGGTCGTAATCCTCGAACTGGTCGCGCACCGAGTCCAGTAGCGGCGACGAGGGCCTCATGTGTCCGATGGGCCGCCACGAGCCGCGCCTATAGGGCTTCGGTATCTGTCCGGTCTCCGCGTGATTCTGCAGATTGGCCACGATGTCCTCGAGCATCTGGCTGCGTGTGCGCTCCTGCATGCGCGCGAACTTGGGCGCCGAGTACGAGGCGCGCTCGCCGTTCACGATCTTCGTGAGCATCCACTCGCGAAACATCGGGCCCTTCTCGAAGACGCTCTGCTCCCAGAGGTAGGGCTTGTAGGCGCCCACCTCGTCGCGAGTCACCACCGAGACCTCGTAGCGCGTCACCTTGCGCTTGATGCGCGGACTCACCCGGACCAGTATGAACGTGTGCAGAAAGTGCGACTTGATGCAGGCGGGGGAGAAGCGAGTGTTGTCCGCCTCGAGGAACACCACGCAGACGATGTCGTTGCCGATGTGACGCTTGCGCTGCAGCTTCTGCGGATCGTGGCGCTCGTAGGGCAGGAGGGTGGAGACGTGAAACATGATCTCGATGCCGCGCCAATTGGTGTAGATCGAGTAGAGGCCCGTGAGATCGTGGACGGTGTCGAGGCCGCCCTTGTACTTGTCGTGGCCCTTGAGGCGCACCTTGTCGCCGAGTATGGACAGGAACTCGTCGAACAGGGCCGACTCCTCGTTATTGTCGAGTATCTCCTCCTCCTCCTTCTGGCCCTCTTTGACGTAGATCACGCCCACCTTGAGCTCGGACTTGATGAAGACCTGGTCGAGCTTGAGCAGCTCCTCGGGCGTGTCGGGCAGCTGGCCGAGTATCAGCGGCGGATTGATGTTCACCTCCTTGCCGAGGCTGCGCACCACCTCCTCGCGATTGTATCTATACGTGTGCGTGTGCGTGTGTACATTATAATAAAAGAAAAAGTTAACAGCTCGCGCGCACACAAAAAGGTATAATAAAAGGAGAGGACATCAAACGAGTTTCTCTCTCTCTCTTAGTACGTAGGTATACGTGCAGCGAGGAGAGAAAGTTAAGACGTTCGCAATACCACGGCAGTAGTTTGTGCCAAGCTTTTGCGCCGTATATAACACCGTACATATATATATACACGTATCTATCTATCGCAGTAAGAGAGCTTGCAAGAGAGGGACGGGAAAAAGCTCCTTATGGCGCACCAGATGGAGAAGTTTCGCGAGTTATTTGCCAGAGTGATAAGTTCTCTCTCTATCTCTCTGTGTGTTACTCGTCCGATACGCCGCTGCCACTACTGTACTATATATATATACCGCCGTTGGCGCGAAATACTCGAGCTTTACGACCGTGTACGACGACGACGACGACCCGAGGAGATGAGAAATTGTCCTCCCGTGTTATATGCTTTATCGATTGTATTATCGCACGCATATTGGAAAATTGATACACACACGAGAGAAAAACTTTATTCTCACCTATCGGCAAAGACGCAGCTGGCGGGTATCAATCCGTGCACCGTGTAACTGATCGCCCTGACCAGAATGCGAAACTGATCCCGACAGTTCAGCGTCTCCTGCTTGATGCTCAGTATCACAGGCCCGAGATCCTCGTCGTTGGTGAAGTAATTCCAGTGCTCGGTTCCATAAAAGTACTTCTCGTAGATCTCCTGCTCGACGCTGGTGAGCTCGAAGCCGAGATTCTTCTCCCACTGCTCCTCGATGGTGGTCTTCCTCTTGGGCGGCTCGCCATCGCCGTCCAGCTGGCCCTCGTTCTCCTCCAGCAGGCAGTAGCGCTCGTGGCGGCTGCGCAGGATCTGCTGCTGCTGCTCCTGGTCCTGCTGCTGATCATTGGCGCCGCCGCTGCCGCTTCCGCCGCCGCCGAGCTCGCCGTCGGTGTTGTTCTCGCGGTCGCTCTCCGACTCGTCGTGCAGCGCGTCCGTGGTGATGTGCTGGCGCGAGCACTCGATCCAGTAGCCCGGCGTCGGCAGCAGATTGTGCGGATACTCCTGGCAGAACTCGTCTGTAAAACGCGACGGAATTAATTCGTGTTTATTATTGTCGAGGTTAAATTCGTTTTGGTTGCGCTTTTGGGATGAAAAAAGAAAAGATGCGAAAAACGAGCGTACGTCCGTAGGGGTTTTGATAAACCGACAGATTGGGGATAACAATTTTTCAACTCAAAATAAGAGCTGAGAGCATAGCTCTTTACAAATGAATCATTATCGTTGTTTCCTACCAACCAGATAAGTGGCATAAGTATAGAATGATTTTTGAGAAATGCTTAGCTTACGAGCGTCAGCTGCTACCTACACTCATGACCATTTTTTTTTAACTATTCTAGTCAATATGATTCCTATTGTTGAAAGGTATAGGCTAAAAAATTAATATCTTGCTTGCCTAGACCAGAACGTTACTTGAACGCTCCAGGATACTACTATGTGCATTTGAGCCTTGTACAAAGGTATAAGTGGACTTATACGAAACAATCATTTTACAATAAAGGCATAAGTTAAAAAATGAATATCCAAGGTCTTAATTTATTTCTAACATGACTACTCCTGGACATTTGTTTAACAATACTTCAAGAGGCATGGGTAAAAAATTGTTATACCAAATGTATGTGCCACTCGTGCTCTCGGATTTCGTGCGTGCGCTACTCGGTCAACGACAAATCCATTCTCATAACACACGACTCGGGCTATAGCTTCGCACACGTGTCTTTATACTCATGAATCGTAGTGTATATGATACGTGTTTATTCATTCACATTCATTATTTTTAATTTACTTTGACTTTAATTGTCAATTGAGACAATGTAAACTGATACCGCATCAGCGATATTAGCCACTCGCTACTAAAACTTACAAATAGCTCAAAATGTATCGATGTTCAAAAACAATAGTTGGGGGAGAAACTTCGAAAAATTTCTTTAAAAAATTCAAGCAAATTAACAATTCCATTAAACCAATTCATCAAGTTTAATTAAAAATAGTCATAATAAAAGCCGCGGAAAATTTATTATCAAAGACTCTTAAAAATGTAATTGAAATTTTAAGTTTACTTTGAAAAAATGTTTGACAAATTTGAGAATACGAACTTCAGACATGTACTCCACAAAAAATGTGACTGATCTGGTCAAAAGTATACAGTTACGACAAAATAGGTTGATTAAAAAAATTAATTTTAAACTCTTCTTGCGACTAATGTTACCTAACAAAGTAACCCAACCCAAATTCGATATGTTCTTCTATTCAAAAGTTATGCTGGCTCCATATCACCGGTAGTAAGGCACACACATACATATACTTAGAATAGTTTTAATGACATACGAGAGTATACGTCCGTATAGCCGTACGTTGCTATTCGACACTGGTGAATCGACGCTCGATAGTAGTGGAGGAAAGTATCGACACGGAGCTATCAAAATCTTTGGATCATCTCGCAGTCATACGAGCAGTGCGTTCAGTCGCCATTCGTCAGTGAGCATTTGAATTTCTCAGTGACCACATGTTTACTATAATTATTGAAAACTGTTAGCTACTCGTGCCGTTTAACACCAAATATTTTCTTAGTGTAAATCGTGAAAATTCACAGTGAATACAAATAATCAAGCGAGCGATGGAAATCAAAGAGGACACGAATAGGTATTAATTTTTTTTATGCCACTATATTTTTTGAAGCGATCGATAGATTTAACTTAATTATTCTTCAGGGTTAAGGAAGAGCCGAACGATAATTGGCCCGATGCAGACGACGATGATAAAGGCGATTCGGTGGACTCTTGCAAAGCCGAAAATGTTGAGACTGGGATGGTACAGGAAAAATTAACTGAAAAAATTTTCATAGATTTTGAGTGCCAAGATTTTAAACTCGAAAAACCGTTTCCGCTGTCAACCATCTGTAAAACTGAGCATCAAAGTTGGCTACCTACTGTGAAAGTAGAAAATGAAAATCAGACCAATAACGTAGACAGCAATATAATTATAGATTTTGAATGCAGTGATTTTAAACTTGAACAAAAGCCTTCATCGACAAGCATTCACAAAACTGAGTATCAAAGTTGTCAATCCATTTTGAACGTAGAAAACGAAATTCAGAAAAATGTCTTGAATGGAAAAAGGCTAATAATTTTGATTAAAAAAGAGTTCGATTACGATAATAACTGTAGATTTCAAGAAAAGTTCCGATTGAAGTTTCACGAATCCGAGGAGCGGAAAATAGTAGGAAAAAAGATTCAAACTAAAGTGTCTTATAGATGTAAAAAGTATCCAAAAAAGTTTAAAGGAAAAGTAAATTTAAAAAGACATATTAATAAGACGCACAAGAACATTAAATCATATGACTGTGAGATTTGCCACAAATCATTTCGACACAAAGGTCACCTCGAACGTCACGTGAATGCAGTACATAATCGTATTAAACCCTTCCAATGTGAGATTTGTCATAAATTATTCAGCCAGAAGGATACACTCAAAACTCATATAAATACACTACATGATCGTAACAAATCCTTTGAGTGCGATGCTTGTCACAATTTATTTAGCCGTAAAAATCACCTCATATCTCACATAAGAATAGTGCATAATAAGAGCAAAGCATTCGAATGTGAGATTTGTCATAAATCATTTGCCTACCAAAGCTACCTTAAACGTCACGTCAACGCAGTACATAATCGTAGTAAACCCTTTGAATGTGATATTTGTCACAAATCATTTGGAGAAAAAAGTACCCTCAAAACTCATATAAATGCTGTACATGATCTTAGCAAACCTTTTGAATGTGAGATTTGTCGTAAATCATTTAGAAGACAGCAAATCTTAAATCAACACGTTATGGAAGTGCATAATCGGAGTAAACCTTTTGAATGTGAGATTTGTCATGATTCATTTGCCCGTAAGACTTACCTCAAAACTCACATTATTATAGTACATGATCGGAGTAAGCCCTTTGAGTGCGATGCTTGTCACAAATCATTTGGACAAAAAGGTCACCTTATATCTCACATAAGGATAGTGCATAATAAGAGCAAATTTTTTGAATGTGAGATTTGCCATAAATCATTTGGATACAAAACTGTCCTACAAGTTCACATTAATGCTGTACATAATCGTAGCAAACCCTTCGAGTGTGAAATTTGTCACAAATTTTTTGGATAAAAAAGAAGGCGTGATGTTCACATAAATACTGTACATAATGGTGTCAAACCCTTTAAATGCCCCATTTGTCACAGATCATTCGGACAAAAATCCCAAGTCAAAAGACACATTAATTCAGTACATGATCGTAACAAACTCTTCAAATGTAATATTTGTCACAAGTCGTTTAGCCGCAAAGATTCCCTCAAATCTCACATAAGCACAGTACATAATCGTAGAAAACTCTTTGAATGAGAGATGTCAAGATGTGTTGTGAATAATTTTGGATACCAGAATGTACAAAATAGATACGATCACAGTACATGATAGCTGAAAAGCTCATACTAAACAATCATTTTATAATAAAGGCATACTTTACAAAATGAATATTCAAAGCCTTAATTTATTTCAAACATGAATACACCTGGAAATTTACTGATACATCGGATCACGCTCAAATATTGGTTTTAATCTTTTGTTTAAAAATACTTCAAGAGGCATGGGCAAAAAATTGTAATACCAAATGAATGTGCCATTTGTGCTTTAAGATATTGTGCAAGCGCTGCTCGGTCTTTACTCATGAATCGTAGTGTATATGATACGTGTTTGTTTATTCACATTCATTTTTTTTTATTTAATTTAACTTTCATTGTCTCAATTTACAATTACATTTGTTAAATCTCAATTGACAATTAAAGTTGAAACCGCGTCAGCGATCTTGGCCACTCGCTACCAAAACTTACAATTAGGTCAAAATTTATCGATGAAAAATTAAAGAAAAAAATTCGAATTAACCTTTAGTTGACACAATTTCCTGGTGTAACGTACTTGACACACTGGAGTTTTTCTGCACCCCATCAAATACATTGTTAATAAATAAATAAACTATTAAATATTTCTGTTTAAAACTTTTTTACGAACTTTTGAAAAGTTTATTTTAAAGACTGTATAAGTTTGATATTGAAATATTGAAAGTAAATATGTTTAACAATAGATTTAATTTTTGTCGATTTGGATACTTTGAAAAACGTAGAAAAAGCGTGGGGTTGATTCTGCCCCAGTGTATCAAGTAAAGGTTAAAACTCAAGTATACGAACGAATTTAGTTCTGTTCAAGAATTGCAGTTAGGAGCGAAAATTCGATATAATACCTCGAAATAAATTAAAATTCAAGTAAATAACATAATTCAATTAAAAATATACACAATAAAACACCGTTGCTAATTCATTGGCAAAGAACTAACTCCTTAAAGTTTACTTGTTCTTTTTTTACGTATCAAATTTAAAATATTATAAAATATTAAGTTTATAAGGTATTGAGTCTAATATAGTAATCTAATTCAGAAAAAATCTGTTACACATTTGAGATTATGAACTTCAGACATATACACCACAAAAATGAAACTGATCTGGTCAAAATGAAAGTAGTTTTACGACAAAATAGGTTTATTAAAAAAATTAATTTTCAACGCCTCTTGCGTTAAATATTACCTAATAAAGTAACTTGACCCAATCTAGATTTGTTCTCTATTCAAAAGTTATGCTAGCTCCATATCAATTCTAGGAATGGAAAAGACTTTAAATGAATGTGTTATTTATTTATTAATATAATTTTTTTTTTGACAAAGTTTGAACGTTTGATGATTATTTTTTTATTCAATAATTATTAAATAAAAATTAGAACAATTCAATTGAGAAATTTGAGAATTTGAAACAATAAATGAATTTGTAAATATTTAAATTTTTAAACTAACGCTGCATTTAATTTCCTCACCAAAAATGATGGTGTAATGATCTATCGATCATTTATTTTATAAATGCCCTAGAAAGAAAGATGCGTCACAAGAAGCGTACAGAATTGTACATCTCTTATAAGAAGGTAGTGG